TCAGAGCTTCTGCTATTAGCAGCACAAGGCAGGCTAATTGATACAGGAGGAGGGACAAGGTAAGTATAGGAAGACTTCTCTGAGGCATGGAGTGCCAAGCTGGGCTTTGCAAGAGGCAGATGAGTGAGAAACAGCACATCATTCCATCTTCAGAAAAGGATGGAAATTCCATTGCATAAAAACTACGGGAAGAAAATGTTGGATGCAGTTAGCAAAAGAAGAAAGCATATTAGAAATATCCAGATGTGTGAGAATACAGATGGGGGAAAGACCAATGTAGCTCCTGCCCAAGAAAGTGCCACACCTCCAGAGATGTCAGTGGAAAGCCAGAATCAGATCTACGTACAGAGACACAGAGCAAGGCTTAGTGAGCTCTATGGGAAACCCATTTTGAGCGCATCTCTGAATTGAGCCAACAGGCCATGCACAGGGACAGAGTGGCATCTGGTTTCTTGTCACACACCCACACCTGCTAACCAACACACAACTTGAAGGTCTAATTTTAGGCTCAGCAGCCATGACATTTTTTTTCCCCTTTAAAAAAATTATCCATATTTCTTCTTCTGAATGCAGTGGCTAGCCATTACTCTCACACCCCCTGGCAAAGGAAGGAAATTAAGATAATAATGCGTCCTTCTTTTTTTGATGCACCCCCCCCCATTACCCACCCATTTGGAATGTCTGCCTCAATGCCTTTCTAAATCCATGTCAAGAGTTCTCTAGAATCTGGATCACAGCTTTCAGCACATCAGCCCCTGCTCAGAAACCTTCATGTGGCTGCTTGTTGCTGAAAGGATAAAATCCATTCTTCATACCTGGGACCCAAAGCACACTACAGACTGAGATAAATCTACCCTTTATAAATGTTCATGTTCCTGCCTCACCATCTTGCTCAAGGTAAAGTCTATGATGCCTGGATTCATATCTTGGCTTAGCAATTTACTGACTGTGTCACCTTGGGCAAGTTATTTAACCTGAGCCTCAAAAACACTGTACGTGAATGATCTAGCTTTGACCTTGAGATACTGTCAATAACTATTAGCCTGCTATGTCAGTGATATAAAAGATGGTGCTTTGGAGAGGATTAGAACATAACAAACCAAAAAAAGAAAAACAAAAGGTGTAATTGGTCAAATCTTTTTATAGAGGAGTCTGATCGTATGTACCAAAATATAAAATGCACATAACCTTTCACCCAGAAATCCCACTTTGATCGATCTATCCTAAATGGCAATTGAGTAAGTGGAAAAATATGTAATCACAGAGATTTTCATTACAACACTGTTTGTAATAGCAAAAAATTCAGAAGCAATTAGGAATGGACCAAGAAAATTATGTAAACAGACACTATCTCGAGGTGATGAGAATTTTTCCTTTTTTTTTTCCAGAATTGGTTAATATTTTTTACAAGACACACGTATCTTTTTTTTTTCTAAAATCAAAGTGACTGCTGAAAAGGTAACTTTTAAAAAACACACTAAGGAAAATAGTTCCTAAAGGATGTTTTCCCTGGATTCTCAGTGCTAATTATCATTTTTCGTATCATAGATGAAGCTTTAGTTCATCTTTTAAGACTAGCCAGTAGCTCAAATATCTGCAAAATTTAACACTAAAATAAAGTAGATGAAATGACCTTTTGGGGGGCATAAAATCAGACAATTCCATTCTTTTACTACGTCTATGTACAAAGAAAAGAGCTCTATTCTCTGGCCATGGCTTTTACACTTAATCCCAAAAATCTATGTCCTATGTGAAGCCCTTGTCATGAGAGAGGCTAAGAGATAAAAATGAGTAGGTAGTTCAGAGCAAGCCCACATCTGATGCTAACAAGACTTGACATTCACACTCATACAGCAGACTGCTGCGGCATTCTAGAATTATCACTATAGAACCGAAGTTATGGGCAGCAGCAATGATGTGGACAAGTGTTAGGGCTTAAGAATGGATTTTAGATTTTTGGTTTATAGTTATTTGGGCTCGAGGGCTTTACTATTTCCATTAAAATAATAAATGCGTAATAAAAAATTCAAACCATACAGAACAAAAAAACAGAAAATTATTCTCTGAAATCACAGTTCACAGCAACTATTATTGTTAACGTTCAGTGTTTGCGATATTTTGCTTTTGTTTTTAAACCTATCACAAAGGAATTAATGATTTCTCACCCATTATACAACAAAAATTAAAAAGCATGTTAATATTAAGTGCTGACAATGTTGTAAGGAAATGAGCACTCTCATGTCCTGTTGATGAGAATGTAAATTAGTGTATAAACACACTGGAAAACAATGTGACAGAATCTATGTTATGGGCTGCATGTCTATGTCCCCCACAAATTCATATGTTGAAACCTTAACCCACAATGGGGTGGTATTAGGAGATGGGGCCTTTGGGAAGTAATTAGGGTTACATGAGGTCATGAGGGTGGAGCCCCCATGATGGGATTAGCGTCCTTACAAGAAGAGACAGAGACTAGAGCTCACTCTCTCCATTGTGTGAAGATACAATGAGAATGCAGCCATCTGCAAACCAGGAAGAGGGTCTTCACTAGACACTGAAGATGCCAATGCCTAGATCTTGAAGTTCCCAGCCTCCAGAATTGTGAGAATTTCATGTTTGTTGTTTAAGCCACCCAGTCTATGGTATTCTTATTATAGCAGCCCAAACTAAGTTACTACATAAACCAAAAACATGCATGTTGTGAGAACCAGCCACATAACTTTTCTTAATTGAGATGTCATTCACATACCATAAAATTCACTCTTTTAAGGTATACAATGCAGTGTGGTTTAGTACATACAGAGTTGTGCAAGCATCAACACTAATTCCAGAACATTTCCACCACCTCACAAAAGAAACTCCATACCCATCAGCAGTCACTCTCCATTCTCATCTCCCCATAGCCTGTGGCAACCACTAATCTATTTTCTATCTCTATGGATTTGCCCATTCTGAACATTTCAAATAAATGGACTCATATAATTCGTAGCCTGTTGCAAATGGCTTCTTTCACTTAGCATGGTATGGACAAGGTTTGTCCATGTGGTAGCATGAATCAGCACTCCATTCCTTTTCATGGCTGAGTGATATTCCATTCTATGGATACACTACATCTGGTTATATATTCAGCAGTTAATGGACACTGGCTTGTTTCTACATTCTGGCTATTACAATGCTGCTATGAACATTTCTAAGTACATTCTGTGTGGACACATTTTTTCATTTCTCTTGGATATATACCTAGAAGTGGAATCGCTGGGTCAAATGGTAACTCTATCTGTAACTTTCTGAGGAACTGACAAACTGTTTCTCACAGCAGCTGCACCATGTTACATTCCCATCAATAACGCATTTCTCCATATCCATACGTGCACTTGTTATTGTTCCTTTTTTATTATAGCCATCCTAGTAGGTGTGACGTGGTGTCACATTATGTTTTGATTTGCATTTCCCTAATGACTAATGGTGTTTAACAGCTTTTTTTTTTTTTTTGAGACAGAGTCTCACTGTATTGCCCGGGCTAGAGTGCCGTGGCGTCCTAGCTCACAGCAACCTCAAACTCCTGGGCTCAAGCGATCCTCCTGCCCCAGCCTCCCAAGTAGCTGGGACTACAGGCATGTGCCACCATGCCTGGCTAATTTTTTTCTATATATTTTTAGTTGTCCAATTAATTTCTTTCTATTTTTAGTAGAGACGGGGTCTCGCTCTTGCTCAGGCTGGTCTCGAACTCCTGAGCTCAAACAATCCGCCCGCCTCGGCCTCCCAGAGAGCTAGGATTACAGGCGTGAGCCACCGCGCCCGGCCAGTTTAACAGCTTTTCATATACTTCTTGGCAACTGGTGTATCTTCTTTAGAGAAAAATCTATTCAAATATTTTATCCATTTGTTCTTTTTTAAGCACCAAAGGAGGCAAGAAAAGCTTCATCTTTCCCTGCTGCACCCCTTTTAATAAAAGGATTTGTTACGTAAAATTTGGATTCAGTCAAAAGGCCGCACTTAAGGACCAGGAAGGCCACATGTTTCCTTAAGGCCGCAGGTCCCCCCACCCCGCCCCTTTGAGTTAATTTTGTATTTTGAGTCCAACTTCCCTTTTTATATGTGGATATCCAGTTGTCCCAGCACAATCTGTGGAAACAAACATTCTTCTCCCATTGAATTGTCTTGTAATATAACTTTTTAAATCTACATAGAATGTTCTATAGCTTCATTGTCACAGGGGTGACACACCTGGATTATGTTTGTCAAAACTCATAGGACTGTACACTAAGTATAATAAATTTTATTGTATGTAAATCATATCTCAATAAACCTGACACTTAAAAATTCTACTTTAGAGAAACACAGCATAAGTGGTCATATTCGAGAAACATATGCTTCACAAATATTGTAATATTGCTTGTAATAAAGACAAACTAAATACCATCTGAATGTCTACCAAAAAGGAAGTAGCTAAATAAAACATAGTATAGCCATAGCATTGAATTATATGCAATAGTTCAAAGAATAAGCTAGATTTATATATATCAAATGGATAAAGCTAAGAAACATTCTATTAAGAAAAAAAGAGAAGTGCACAATAATTTACACAGCATGAAATCATGTATGTAAAGAAGATATACAAAACCATACTATATCGGGTCTGTAAGTACATTTGTAAGTATCTAAAGGTGTCTGTTAAAGGTCCGGAAGAATATTCAGCAAAGTGATAACACTCAATGCCTCTGGAGAGGGTGAAAAGACACCAGAATTGGAGGAGTAGTCAGAGAGGAGTTGAGCTTTGTCATTTTTCCCCCCAAAGAAAAACATATTCATTAATTATTTGTGTGATTAAAAAAATAATAATGTGGAATGTGGGTAAGTTGTAAACAGAGATCTTAAGTACAGAACCATTGTTTTTTAATACATGTGCTCATGTGTCCATCCCTGCACCCAACACACACACGCACACACACACACACACACACACACACACACACACACACACACAGAGGCGATCTTACCAATTTGGATTTTCCACACTTTCCTGGAAGACAGATTCTTCCTTCATGGATGCATACTGTGTCCACGTAAGGCAGTGACTCCGTATAGCCATGTTTCTTTCCTGAGGATTGAGCCATGATTCCTCTTCTAACTGGATATTGGGTACTCTTAAAATGCTCACCTGTCCAACAGAGGGAGGATGGGTTTCTCGGTTTAGGAAGAACAAGCTACATAAGGACAGCATCCAGAGTTGTTTTCAGTCTTGGACAATTAAGAGGACAAGAGATCCTGATATACAGATGATGGTTCACCAATAGCTGTAAGTTTTTAATAATCAAACACACTATGACCTTACTAAGTGCTGGTGAGGACATGCAAATGGCCTAGGATTTATGTAGGTTGTACAGTCCCCGGCCTGATTTCCCTAACTGCTAAACACTAAGCAAATTATCAGCCTCCTTCGTGTCTCCTCTAGGGCTGGTTATGGCCTTCTTAAATTGATGGATTTTAATTGAGCCCACTTACAGGCTCGTATGCAGGACAACATCAGGTAAAATATATTCTTCATTTTAAACTCTGTCTAATACCTAGAAATGTATGGTTTCCTACATGGAGAAGACACGCAAAACTACAAAGGCAGGATTGTACAAGTCACAGGTATCCTTAAATTATTTAAGAATCGAGACACAAGACAAAGTTGAATGCCTTTTTAAATAATAGATTCAAAGTGTGTATATAGGGCAAAGGCAGGGTACACACTCTGTGGAAAAGCACAGTAAGAATCTGCTGCTACAGTGCGACATGTTTTACCATGTGGAAAATAACAAAGTTCAGTTTCATTGTCCTATCAGCTTTATGACACAAAAGAATGTCTTTTAATCTATGATAAGGAAGTGAAGGAAGCTGCCATTTGTTCTACATACAGCATAGCAATTTAATTTGCAAGCTAATTGGCAGGAGCCAAGCAGGGTTCCCCATCACACACAGGATCTCTTCTGGGTTGAAACCACCAGAGGAGACATTTTTAAAAGTGCATATCAAGATGCTTTCCCCTCACTTCCTAATAATTCTGAAAGGGCTCACATTGAAAATCCCTTTATGGTTCTAGCAATGCAATTAAAAATTTCCACTCACCTTTTTCCAACAAAGAATCACCAGTGTGCTTAATGGTATCAAAGAGAGAAAACAATTTGCTATCATGAAGATTTCATCATCAATGATATTACTTTACAAAAACACACGAAAAGACTTACAGAGAGTACTGAGAACATTATACTCCCAGAAATAACTGTTATCTTTGATAATGAATTAGAAACTGATGCTTTTATCTTCCTTACTAAAGATCAGACTAAATATTTACAATCTGCCCACTTCTGATCACTCTTACCTAAGGGTCATTTCTAACCATGAACAGATTAGAAAAGATAGTCACTTCATGCAAAATGCCAAAAGTATCTTTTAAAAAATTGTAGAACATCTCTA